AAGGAAGGAAGGAAGGAAGGATAGAAGGAACGACGAAAGGAACGACGGAAGGAACGACGGAAGGAACGACGGAAAGAAGAACGGAAGGATTGATTCACCATAAAGTTATTAGATTAAACATCTGTCCATCTTGACTCTCAGTGCAAAGAGCCGTGATGATCTGAAGCGCTCATCTCTTCAGAAATGAAAAGAGAAAAGTGAAAGTTATCTGTGAAGGTTCGTGGGATGAGAACGCTGCTTGAAGAAACAGCCCTCTGCTTGTAGAAGAGCATTGTGCTGAGTGGAAGAGGTGTTTATTAAGAAGATGTAACAACACCGAGTGTTTCCCTCCAGAGTCTTTAAGCTCCAGTGCATACATGTGTTAGTGAGTCACATCATCTGTCTCTGCTAACTATGATCTTATTTCAAAGAGACCATCTTATCACAAGCAGAACTGGTTTGTTCCACTTTGGAGTAAGCTGTTGGGGGAAGAATCATTTTTGTGTTGTGTTTCCTTGTTCCTCGTTTCAGCACAAAAAAAAGAAACTGTCCTGAAAAATGTTGGATTGTATACCTGGATTATTGAGCATGGACTTTGTTATGATCTTATTTATAAAGCTGATGGCATGACATTGATTTAATCCAGTGTTGATGCTAAGTGCATGTCTTTTCTAATTAAATCTCATTTTTAATTTAATATCACAGCTGTTTAAATGTCATTGTGTGATTTTATTTTTACCATTTGGTCTCTTTGTTTTATATTTTATAATTATAAATTGCTGCCACTGGCAAATTATTGGACCCTATTGAAGTGTGACGTCATGGTCAAAACAGCGTTTAAACAGATTCATGAAGTGATTTGAAAAACATCCTGCTCTGCTGTGAGTTTACAGTTCATTGGTGTCTGTTGCAACATTAAATCTTTGTCTGTAGGCCTACCAGGGTCATGGAGAGGCTGCACTCTACAGTCACCAGTCGAAAAACAAAAAACAGCGTCTCACACCCAAGGTCTATTTAGAATAACCGACTAACGTGACTATTATGTTTTTGAGTGTGGAATAAAACTCAAGTAGTGGCAGAAACCTGCACATGCATAAGGAGAACATTACAAACTATGGTATGCAAAGAGTTTTGAACATAAGTTTTTTTTTAATTGCTGTGATGCTGAAGAGGGAGCCAGTGGAGCTGAGCTTGTGTCCAATGAGGACAGGATGGAGTTTTGGACTAAGTGAAGTTTCTGAATAGATGTGTGGGGTAGACTGGAGAAAGGAGGGTTTTAGAGTTAAGTGAGGAATAACAAAAGTGTGGATGAGAGCTGTAATGTTGTCTATAAGAAACTGGAAAAAAAGGTTGATAGTGTAGTGATAAAAGTAAGCAGAAGTGAAGCCATCTATATGTTTTAATCAGAAGAAAGGGAGAAGTAGAACCTTAACTTAACCACAGAGAATGAAAACAATATGTGTTATTAGTGGTTGAGAAGAAAAAGGACATTTAGACAAGAAAACAAACAAATAAATAAACAAATGATACAACTTTACAAGAAGAGTGCCCTTAACAAACTACTAGAATAATGCCATCCATCCATCCAATATATTTTCCCGCTTCTTCCTTTCCGGGTCACTAAGTTCATAAGGTGCCCATATCCAGCCATCACTGTGCGAGAGGCGGGGGACACCCTGGACAGGTCTACAGTCCATCAGAGGGACACGAGCCTTTGTACAAAATTACATTTTACCTGAATGAATACAAGAGCAGCACTTGCCAAATAGTAATCCACCTGTTTTATAAATGATTTTGCTTTTTAAAGTGTTTGCAAACGCCTAAATTGCCAATTGTATGCAGTATAACTAAATTATTTACAGGTACTCTGTAGAAAATTGGTACCAACATGTAGTTCATAGTTCCTTGGTGTGTAATGGTTGCTTCCTCCTGGTGGGGGCAGCACCGTCACTTTAATCACAGCAGCAGAAGAAGAAGTGGCAGCAGAGCAGAGCCGCTCTGTAGTTTCCATTCATCTCATTGTGCTGTCATTAACAACAAACTCCTACATATTATTCACCAGAGTTCACACACTTACAAACCGAGTTGTCTGTCTCGTGAACGTGCGCGCGCCAACCCGTCTGTGCTGACAGCGCGAGGACACCATGGGCCGGAAGGTGACGGTCGCGACCTGCTCGCTGAACCAGTGGGCTCTGGACTTTGAAGGAAACACGGAGAGGATCCTGAAGAGTAAGTCTGTGAACTCATTCAGACTTTGTCACTCTATTGTTGTGCATGAATGAATTAAAAATTACACGTCGGTTCAAAATCCGCGAGACTACCGGAAGTAACAGCACCGCTGGCCATATTAGGATGACAGCAAAACCCCTGAGATTTGCTCATTCGTTCAACCTTTATTTAGACAAGTTAATCCCATGGAGCCACGGGGACTCATTCACAAGAGAGACCTGATGATGACAGAAGTAGACAACAAAGAAAATAATAGACAATCATAAAGAATGCGTAAAATTTAGATTTTTTTAAACAAGTGAAAATAAAATGGTATTTAAAAGGAAGGGAAAAAAAAACAGCTAGATTATAAGGCGATGTAGAAAACTAAAAACAGGAACATGTCTGCATTGGATTTTCCCAGGAACTTAACAGATGTTTGAAGCCACTTAGAGAGGTCAAGGTCGAGAGCTTCAGGTCTTTTTGTAAGATATTCCAGGAAACAGGAGCGGAGTAGGAGAAGGCCTTTTTGCCTAGTTCAGTCCTCACTGAGGGAACACTGCAGGTAATGATGTCCTGAGAGCTGTAGCTGCACTCACGCAGAGACATGTAGGAGATGATGTATGAAGGCAACAGACCAAGAAGTGATTTAAAGATGAAAATGTACCAGTGAGAGAGTCTGCGTGAAGTTAATGATGTCCAGTTAACCAGTGAATAAAGGGTGCAATGATGGGTATGGTAGTTACAGCCAGTTATGAATCTTAGTGCACCGTGATAGACAGCATCCAACATCTGCAGGGTGCTTGTAGGGGCGTTCATGTAAATAATGTCACCGTAATCATTGAAGGGAAGGAAAGTTGCAGTTACAGGGTGTTTCCTAACATTCAGAGTTACAGAAGATCTATTTCTGAAACAGAAACCCAATTTAACTTTCAGTTTCTTTACTACATTTTCCATGTGGAGCTTTAAAGAGAGATGCGGTCGACCAAGGTACTCAAATATTTGTAGGAATTGACAAATTCAATAGGGACACCATTCAAGGATAAAATCAGAGGAAGAACTGCTGGGACCGACTTCCTGTTTGGATAAAAGCATCCCTTTAATTTTGTTGGTGTTTAGGACAAGTGTGAGACGGAACAAGTCTGACTGGATGATGTCAAAAGTGGTTTGCAAAAGCTGGAAAACCTTAGCAACTGTTTTAGCTCGACAATAAACAATTGTGTCATCAGCATAGAAATGTAAGGATGCATCAGGGATGATCTGACCTACATTACCTATGTAGATTGTGAAGAGGGTGGGTCCTAAGACTGAGCCTTGTGGTACACCATTGTTGACTGTTAAATGGCTGGAGGAAGTACGGTGATGTTGATCACATTATCTAGCAGATATGCATGATAATAAAAGGACTTCATATGAATATAAATTATTATTATGTTGTTGTTGTTTTATAGTAAATCACATTTAATTTAGGCTCCAAAGCCATTTGTTTGAAGTTGCAGGTTGCTGATTTGCTGGACTTAAGAAATCACTGCAGGCAAAGTTCATCAGTCTGAGAGGCACCAAATGATTAAAGTATTTACTTATTGAAAATACAGAAATTACAATAAATAAATAAATAGCTTTGCAAGGAAATATAAGTGAAAATGCAAAAGTTGTGCAAAAAAAATTTAGGACATAAAGTTGTATAGATGTTGAGAGGACAAAGCAAAGTTTATATATTTAGATTGGAACAGGTTTTTCAGCACATCAACATGGCAATTTTGTCTCTTTGAGGCCAGTTTTGGTTCAGAGGAAATTATTTCATGGTACAGAAGAGGAGGGAGTACATGAAAATGTTATTTCAAGTTTGTGGATGTGCAGATAAATGTGTTTCTGATATTTTCCATATTCCAAGGATCCAGTGTTCTTGATATGTGTTTGTCAGGAATATGCAGCTGGAGTTCAACATCAACATCTGCAGTTGTGTTATTAGTAATTATTTCAAATCACACACCATGACTTGTAAGAAAATGAAGCACAAATGCAGATTTATGAGCTCCCAGCGACAGGCCCAGACATTTTACATGTGGAAACTGTTTTTGTTAGTTCAGTTAGTGACTATGAACTTTTTTAATTAGATCTTATGTTTTTTTTAAAAGTTGTATCAGGAGTTAATTTCCTCTCTATTTTATAGTTTGTTATTCAAGGTTATTTGAACTTGTTACAAAAAGTTTTCTGTAAAATACTAAACTTTATTTGCTGGTTGACTTGTTTCTATTTTTTTAATATAATTATTTGCTTTTTGTCAGAAATTACATTTGTAATCCAACTAAAGGTGATAATTCTGTTAATGCTACCCTCCCTTTATTTTATTTTGTTGAAACACAAAAGACCAAACAGTAAATCACATTTTTAAACCAATTCCTTCTTATGGTTATTTCCACCTTTTCCCTGGCCGAGCCGGGTCCTAACAGTTTTGTGTTCAAACGTTCTCTCAAGGTGACCCCATCCTCATCCCACGCCTCTTTCATCGCTGACACAATGTGTACCTTCCCTTCTCAAGTCTGGATTCTTTGTAACAGCTGGGTGTGGTTCTTCATAACAAAGCAGTGATGATTTCTGTGTGTTTCTCTGCAGGTATTGAGATTGCCAAAGCTCAAGGAGCCAAATACAGACTGGGTCCAGAGTTAGAGATATGGTATTTAGACTAAACTCTTTGTTTGTTCTTAAAATGCTTGATCAGGTTTCACACTTGCAGTTTATGTGTGATGCTCATTGTAATGTCTACCAAACCAAACCAAAAAAATCTTCTCCATATCAAGTAATAAAATGTTTGATACAACCTAAAAATATGACATATTCCACTGTCGTTACCTTTTTAGCTAATTACTAGGACTAAATGCAGAAGATGTGGGAGAAAAAACAAATTCCTGCCTTGCTGTTTCTACAGGAAGTACAAGAACTAGTGGCCGATATTTGTTATTAATCAAATGCCTTGATTGATTATCGTCAAGTGTGAACGCCTTTATAAAAGTACATACATATTTTAAGTACATAAGTACATATTTTTGTCCTTTTCCAAATTTGGAGGTGAGGGAACACAATGCTAAGAAACACAGCCTTCATCTTAGAGAAGCAACTGTTGCCACCCATCAGTCTGAAAAGAGTCATTAGGTTGTTTATGCTGAGTCATATTCCAGTAAGTTGATAGAAATATGAAATAAATAAATGACATTCATGACAACCAAACAGCATAGTAAAAATTCCTAATCCCGACTGCCAAGCATGGTGGTGGAGGATGATGGTTTGGGCTTGTTTTGCAGCTTCAGGACCTGGGCACTTTGCAGTTACTGAGTTGACCATGACTTCTTCTGTAAACCAAACTTTTCTACAGTCGTCCCTCACTATATCGCAGTATACTCATTTCAGCTTCACTGTATCGCAGGTTTAAAAAGAAAAAAGAACTCTGTATTGCTGAGTTTTTGCTATATCGCTGGATTTTGTGGTGCATACTGTATGACACTGCCGCTTGTGCAAGTGGAGGAGGAAGCCACCTCTCATCTCCTCTGCCCTGTGCATGCGCTCTCCTACTACATCACATGCACGGACGGCCGCATCACGCCTCTTTCAGCGTCTGTAAGTGCACTGCAGAGATCAGTCTCAAGGACTTCCTCTGCTCAGTGCCTGTCACACTGGCTGTGAGGCTGTTTCACTGGCATTTATTGCCTCTGGATCTCAGCCTCCAGAGGAGCTCAGAGCTCACTCCACAAGAGGAATCTCATCCTCCACAGCTCTGCACGGAGGAGTGTCAGTGCAAGACATCTGCACAGCGGCATCCTGGGGTTCTCCGTGCTCATTCATCCGTTTTTATCTGGGTGATGTCTTCAGCTTCTCCCTGACTCAGTCTGTCTTCAGAGTCTTGTCAGAGTGATGATGCAGATGTTTTAGTGAGCTCTCCATCCTGCCTGTTCTCACAGCAGCAGGGTTAGGCATTTCAGCTTTCAGTCTGATGCAGAGATTTCTCTGCTGCTCAGCGCATGTCAGGCGCACAGATTCATTGGTGAGTAATTACGTGTGATTCAACGACTCAGTATAGATTGTTTCAAAAAGTGTAAGCAGATATCTGTATGAACAGACTCAGTGAGGCACAGATCCTACTTTGCCTTTAACCCACTAGCTATAGCCTTAAAAGGGCAAAGCCTATACGAAATAGAACGTTGGTTACGTACTGTAACCGCAGATTCTATGAGTATAGTATCGGTGCAGCCCTTTAAGACCTGGGCCTCACAGGCTCCTAAATGGCTGAAGAAAAATGCGATTTGGGAGTCGATTCCTGATCTCAGTGCAATTTATACAGACTGGGGTGGGGCCTGCACAGCATGTGGGCGTGGACTAAAGTTTTCAGTGCTGCACTGCACACGAAGGGTAAACCTTAGAGTGGTAAAGGTTTGTAGTGTGGCAAGGGTTTATAAAGCCTTTAAATATAATAATAAAATAAATATAACGCCGTTACTTTGCAGATTTTCACCTGTTGCGGGGGTCTCTGGAAAGTAACCCCCGCACTAGGTGATGGATCACTGTACACTTCATCGAAGCCCATGTGACCAGCAGCTGAAGCTTGGCCTAAGTTGAGTCATGCAACAGGACGGACGATTAGCTCAAACTTGTTATCCATTCTGCAACAGAATGGTTGATAAAGAGAAGAATCAGTTCGTTCTTTGACCCAGTCTAAGTCCAGACCTCAGTCTGACTGAACACTGGTTTGACCCGAAGAGAGCTGAACAGAATCAAACGCTGCGGATTTCAATGACTGGAAGCAACATGTGTGAGAAACTGATAAGGCCTTAGAGAAAAGTTATGACCAAGTGCTACAAGCTGCTAAATTATTAACTGGAATTTGTTTTTTACCCCTCATTTCTGTTTTTAGTTTTTGTCGAATATATGATGATAGTGTAATATATGTTCATCTGAGGTTGTTTGCCTCATTTTAAAACCTGTTCAGGATTAATAATTTATTTAATATTGTCTAACACATGTAGCATGACTATAGAAATAGAACACTTTTCAAATAATGCATTTCAGTTTTCCCTTACTCTTCTAAAGCTTCTTTTCTGGGGGTCTTTATTTGACAGTGGTTTTGGCTGTGCGGACCACTTCTATGAATCGGACACCTTACTTCACAGCTTTCAGGTCTTAAAGGCTCTGCTGGAGTCTCCCGTCACCCAGGACATCATCTGTGACGTTGGGATGTAAGTGGGCTTGTTGTCTGAACTGCAGCTGTGGTTTCAGGTGTACGTCACTCAGGTCTTGGGTTTTGTGTTCTCTTCAGGCCCATCATGCATCATAACGTCCGCTATAACTGCAGGGTCCTGTTCCTGAACAGGTACGTCCGAACTCCAGTCCCAGTTTTTGAATAAAATATTTTTTTGAAATTTCTAGATTAGACAAATCTTTCAAATGTTTAACAGAATCTGACAGAAAACTTTCTTCATTGTTCTGCATGTTGCTTCCATCGTGCAGAAAGATTTTACTGATTAGACCCAAGATGGTGATGGCCAACCATGGCATATACAGAGAGCTGCGCTGGTTCTCCCCTTGGAGGTTAAGGTTGGTCAGTTTTCAGCATTCCTTGACGTACTATGGACATGTTTTTTTTTTTTCTTTTTACAGAAAAACTACAACCCTCAACCAAAAAAATGCTGTTGCACATTCTGTTTATTCATAAATCAACCGGTTGAAATCTTTCAGACGTCAGGAGATTAGGTTTAAGCTTTAAACTGGAATTCTTCTCGCATCTCTCTTTGAAAACAGAGAGGGATGTGACACTGATGACTCTCAACACACATTTCAGTCCTTACAGTTAACTTCCTGTGCTAGGACATGATGCAGTCAGGCTGCTCTCAGTAGTGATGTAGAGGGGGACTCCCACAGGATTCAGCCTCCTGACAGTGTACAATGCCTTGCGAAAGTATTCGGCCCCCTTGAACTTTTCAACCTTTTGCCACATTTCAGGCTTCAAACATAAAGATATAAAATTTTAATTTTTTGTGAAGAATCAACAACAAGTGGGACACAATCGTGAAGTGGAATGAAATTTATTGGATGTGTCAAACTTTTTTAACAAATAAAAAACTGAAAAGTGGGGCGTGCAATATTCTTCGGCCCCCTTGTGTTAATACTTTGTAGCGCCGCCTTTTGCTGCAGTTCCAGCTGCAAGTCTCTTGGGGTTTGTCTCTATCAGTTTTGAACATGGAGAGACTGAAATTCTTGCCCATTCTTCTTTGCAAAACAGCTCGAGCTCAGTGAGGTTGGATGGAGAGCGTTTGTGAACATCAGTCTTCAGCTCTTTCCACAGATTCTCGATTGGATTCAGGTCTGGACTTTGACTTGGCCATTCCAGCACCTGGATACGTTTATTTGTGAACCATTCCATTGTAGATGTGTCTTTATGTTTTGGATCATTGTCTTGTTGGAAGATAAATCTCCGTCCCAGTCTCAGGTCTCTTGCAGACTCAAACAGGTTTTCTTCCAGAATGGTCTTGTATGTGGCCCCATCCATCTTCCCATCAATTCTGACCATCTTCCCTGTCCCTGCTGATGAAAAGCAGGCCCAAACCATGATGCTGCCACCACCATGTTTGACAGTGGGGATGGTGTGTTCAGGGTGATGAGCTGTGTTGCTTTTATGCCAAACATATAGTTTTGCATTGTAGACAAACGGTTAGATTTTGGTTTCATCTGACCAGAGCACCTTCTTCCACATGTTTGGTGTCTCCCAGGTGCTTGTGACAAACTTTAAACAACACTTTTTATGGATATCTTTGAGAAATGGCTTTCTTCTTGCCACTCTTCCATAAAGGCCAGATTTGTGTAGTGTACGACTGATTGTTGTCCTATGGACAGACTCTCCCACCTCAGCTGTAGATCTCTGCAGTTCATCCAGAGTGATCATGGGCCTCTTGGCTGCATCTCTGATCAGTCTTCTCCTTGTTCCAGATGAAAGTTTAGAGGGACAGCCGGGGCTTGGTAGATTTGCAGTGGTCTGATACTCCTTCCATTTCAATATGATTGCTTGCACAGTGCTTCTTGGGATGTTTAAAGCTTGGGGAATCTTTTTGTATCCAAATCCGGCTTTAAACTTCTCCACAACAGTATCTCGGACCTGCCTGGTGTGTTCCTTGGTCTTCATGATGCTCTCTGCTCTTTAAACAGAACCCTGAGACTATCACAGAGCAGGTGCATTTATACAGAGACTTGATTACACACAGGTGGATTCTATTTATCATCATCAGTCATTTGGGACAACATTGGATCATTCATAGATCCTCACTGAACTTCTGGAGTGAGTTTGCTGCACTGAAAGTAAAGGGGCCCAATAATATTGCACGCCCCACTTTTCAGTTTTTTATTTGTTAAAAAAGTTTGACACATCCAATAAATTTCATTCCACTTCATGACTGTATCCCACTTGTTGTTGATTCTTCACAAAAAAATAAAATTTTATATCTTTATGTTTGAAGCCTGAAATGTGGCAAAAGGTTGAAAAGTTCAAGGGGACCGAATACTTTTGCAAGGCACTGTACATCTTCAGCTGAGCTTCAGCTGTGTTTTTATCTGCTTGGTTTTTTCTATCTTCCCTGGGTTGGGAGTCCAAGAGAGGCTCGCCCTAATTTTTTTCTGCTGACCCTCTCTGCAGAGGAGCCACTGGTGTGCAAGTTGTGCAATGAGGGGGATTATTCGGCATGTTTTTCTGAAGTATGCAATTAGCTCTTCAGTTTTGTTGACCTGCTGGTTTAGGAAGAAGTTTAGGAACATAAAAACTTCCACAGACAGACATAAAAAAAACATTTTACGTGGTTCGGACTCACTTGTCCCTCACCTCAATATTTATTTATTTAATATTCTCGCCTAAAATAGATTCTAGTGCATTGCGCTGTTGCTGCTTTTATAAAAATGTCCTTCACATCTGGATGGCATATATTGTATTTTATACTGTAGCTCGCTCCACTTTCTCCACTGTATAGCTCAATATTTATGTAATGTATCTTTTTTCACATTGTATGCTCCCTTAAGGCAGGTGGAGGAGTTTTTCCTGCCCAGAATGATCCAGGAGGTAACTGGTCAGGTAAAAAAGATAATTATATCTAAATTTACTGGATTGGTTTAAACCAGATTCATTCATTTTATAATTCATTGCTCATTATGTTGTGCTTTTATGCTATTATTATTTATATAAAAAAAGTGGATTTCATCTTATTTATCTGGAGGATAAATAAGATGGGGGAGAGGACAGCCCCCAGAAACCATCTTGTCACCAGCAAACTGGTTGGTCCACTGTAGGAGTGTACTACTTAGTGGGGAAAACAACTTGTTTAGGACTCCTCAGACTGATGAAGCCCTTCGGCTGGAGGGCGAAACGTCTCAACAACAAAAAAAAAGCAACTGTCCAGATGACCTGATTGAACATTGTTGGATGTTTTACCTGGATTATTGAGCATGAACTTTGATATCTGGAGGAATGATTTTTAGATTCTTTTATATTAAGAATCTAAATGTAGGTGTAGGTGTACCCCCTATTGGAAGAAAAACAAAAAACATGTCAAGGATAAAAAAACAATTACATATACAAAACAGGTTGAGCAGAGTAAGTAAAGACAGTAGCAGAGTGAAGAAATGTGCTCAGTTTGTCCTCCAGCAGTCTAAGCCTATAGAAGCATAACTAAGGGACAGCTCAGGAAACCCAAGCCGACCCTAACTATAGGATTTATCAAAAAGGAAAGACTTGAGCCCAGTCTTAAAACTGGACAATGTGTCAGCTTCATGGACAGAAACTGGAAGTTGGTTCCACAAGAGAGGAGCCTGATAACTGAAAGATCTTCCTCCCATTCTGCTTTTGGAAACTCTAGGGACCACAAGTAAACCTGCAGACTGAGAGCAAAGTCCTCCGTTAGGAAAATATGGAACAATGAGATCTGTAATATAAGATGGAGCTAGGTTGTTGAGAACTTTGTAGGTTAGAAGTAAGATTTTGAGTTAAATTCTGGATTTGACAGGGAGTCAGTGGAGAGAAGCTAAAACTGGAGAAATATGATCTCTCCTACTAACTCATTAAAACTCTGGCAGCAGCATTTTGGATCAACTGAAAACTTTTTAAAGAAGTCTGTGTACACCCAGATATTAAACAATTGCAATAGTCCAACCTAGACATGATAAATGCACGGACCAGTTTTTCTGCATCATTTTTGGACGATATGTTTCTAATCTTCGTGATATTACGCAGGTGGAGGAAAGCGGTTCTGGTTACATTTTTAATGTGGGTGTTAAAAGACATGTTCTGATCAAAATAACACGAACATTTTTAACATTGGAGCTGGAGGCCAGATTAATGCCATCCATAGAAAGTGAAAGACTGAAAAAAATATTCCAAAGATGCTCAGGTTAAAAAAAACCACATCCTCTGTCTTGTCTTAGTTTAAACGCAGAAAATTAAGGGTCGTCCAGGTTTTTATGTCTTTAAGACATGCTTGTAGTCTAAGTAGCTGATTGGATTCACTGGGTTTCATGAACAAATATAACTGTGTATCATCAGCAAAACAATGAAAATTTATCCCATGCTGTTTAATAACTTTATGTAATGGAAGCATATATAAAGTAAATTGTACTTGTCCAAGCACTGAACCCTGAGGAACTCCATGACTAACTCTGGTGTATTTATTTGCTTTTTCTCAGGACACAGTCCCGTTTGGTGACTGTGTGTTGTCAACAAAGGACACTTGCATCGGCACAGAAATGTGTGCAGAGCTCTGGACTCCCAACAGGTAGAACACGTCAGCACCAGAAGCATCAAAATGGTACAACAGTTAATTAGTTCTGTTAGATGCTGCTGTCACAGAAGTCTGAATAATTGTTAGTGACACTGATGCAGTATTTCCACTGGTTTCCAGACCTTTAGTAGATGATTGATTCTCATTACCTCTTTTTAAAGTTTCTATTTCTGAAAAGAAAATTCAGTAGGAAACCTTGCTCGTCTCTGTTTTCTTCAGCCCTCATATTCACATGGGGCTAGATGGGGTTGAAATCTTCACTAATTCGTCTGCAAGTCACCATGAGCTTCGCAAAGCCGACCAACGAGTCAACCTGGTCAAGTGCGCCACCTATAAGGTATGCATTCATTGAGAGTCAGTAAAAATACATAAAATCAGTGTTTTAATGTCTGATTTTAGAGAAAAATAGTTTCATTTTACTCTTTATTCAAACACATGCATTAATAATGTGAACTACTCGAGGGAAGTGTTGATCCACACCTGTAGGGAGTGATGGTGCCATAACAGCTTGTATTGTTTGCACATTTGCTGAAAGTCACCAGTCTGAAACGGATGAAACTATCAAATTTATTGCTGCTTTTAGCTTCTTGCTTGTGTTTCAGAGCGGAGGTATATATCTGTATGCTAACCAGAGGGGCTGTGATGGAGACCGTGTCTACTATGATGGTTGTGCCATGGTGGCCATCAACGGAGACATCGTTGCTCAGGGAGCTCAGTTCTCTGTCACTGATGTGGTAGGTACGACAGCAACCAGATACAGGTCGAGACAGGTCTTTGAATCCTTTAAAATCCTGACGCTCAAATAAGAACGTATTTGTTGCAGGAAGTGATTACAGCCACTCTGGATCTTGAGGACGTTCGCAGTTACAGAGGAGAACTATGCCAGCCTCAAATGGTGAGAGATCAATACTTCTCAAAGTTTATAATGCATGAGGCTGATGTCTGTATTTGTTTTGCTGCAGTCCTCATTCTCTTAGGTCAGACAATGACTTCAGAAAATTCAGACTTTACTTTCATTCCTCTTTGCAAATCCTCTCTAGCTTAGAGATTGTTGGTGGACAACCAATTTCACGTGTCTCCAGAGATGCCTGATAGGGTTTAAGACAAGCTAGGACACTTCAGGATCCTTATCAAGTCGTCTCAAAGCCACTCTGTGTTGTCCTCACTGTGCACATGCATCATTGTCATGTTGGAAGATGAACTTTCAGCCCGGCCTCAGGTCCTGAATCCAGTGGAACAGGTTTTTATGGAGAATATTTTACTCCATTCAGCTTTCCTTTAATCCTGACCAGCCTTTTATTCCCTTCTGCTGAAAACAAGCCCCACACCATCGTGCTTCACTGTTATGATGGTTTTAGGCAGGTGATAAACACTGACCGGGGTCCTCCAGACATAAGATTTAGAAATGCGGCCAACCACTGCAATGCTTGTTTCAGGACCAGTAATGAGTTGAAAACTTCTGGAGAGGTTTCAGGTACACACACACATCTCAGGAAAAGTACGATGTGTATATTTGTTTTGATTTGTGATTTTTCAGCTTTTAAGGCATTTTCTTTAAACGTTGCATCTACCAAGTGTCATTTTGTCTCTTTGGGTTGTACTTTTCTGTTGTAGGAAAGTGATCTCAGACCTTGTCACAGGATCAAAGTTGACTTTTCTTTATCCAGTGGTGATGATATCTACCTCCCTACTCACCACCCAATAGAGTGGCACTTTCACACACCAGAGGAAGAGATCAGGTACAGATTTCTTCCATTTTTCATCGGACAACCAAATTGAGCAGATCGCTTGCAATCGCTGACTGTTGTGTTGTTCAGTTTAGGGCCTGCATGTTGGTTGTGGGACTACCTCAGAAGAAGTGGACAGGTGTGCAGAAACACACGCTTAAAGACAACTGATAAATTTGGATACACATTACGTTCGTTTTTTTGTGTTTATAAAATGTGACGTTGTGTCCTAGGCTGGTTTCCTGTTGCCTCTGAGTGGTGGCGTTGACAGCTCCTCCACAGCCTGTATTGTTCACTCCATGTGTGTGCTGCTCTGCCAGGCCGTGAATGACGGCAGTGAGTATGATTTGGTTTGCTTTAAGTATCAACACACAAACTTTCCTCTAATTGAAAAATAAGGAGCAAATTTGCCTGTTAGCTTAAAATAATCCGTCCGTTAAAATGAACCTCCCTCACCCAGTTGTCAACAATGAACTCATAGAAAGCCTGATAATATTCCTGTGTGCTGCTGTCTGAAATGCTTATTGTTCAGTGAGCCACACGGTAACAATGAAGGCCAAATATTATGACCACAAACACTGTCCTTTATTCTGATTATAGACTATTCTGCTCCTACAAATTCTCTTTAAATAATTTAATCAGCAATGACTTAATTTTTGTACATTGAAGACTAAAGTGTTGTGCAAACTAACTTCATCTCACCTAAAATCACTTAAAGTAATCATAATCTGTAACATCTCCTCGATCTGTCACTTGTTTACTAAGGATTACAAGCCCACTCTTTATAGCCTGAAAGGCATGCAATAATGTTTCTACCGGTGTCTGTATGTTTTTCTGTTAGTGTGTGAGCAAATATATTATAAACTTCAATAAAAACAGTTAAAACCTAGTGAGTTTGACAGATATTAAGCTAGAATTTGGTGTTTTAGTAGCTTAGACTGATCTCTTGCTGCAGATCTTTGTTTAATGTTTTGCCATTTTGTTATACGTCCATTGAAAGGCAGACGTATGGTGTAGTCTCCATGAGTCCATCAATTTTCGCTTGTCCTGCCCATCACTTCCAGTCCGCTCAAGATTTAACAAAACTTCATACACATGCATCATCATTAGATAGTGTGTCGCTTAAACTGTTCATACTCCAACTCCAAGGTCAAGGTCAAATGTTATACAAGGTCTTTACTTCTCCATGCCATCATTGCTATAGATAGCTGTATAAAACATTTGTTGATGGGCATACAATGTGCTTTTTGTGGCCTTTTTGTTGACATTTTGTCTCTGAACAGCTCACTTAAGGTCTTATCACTGCATGTCAGTCAAGTTGATGTCTGAACTCTGACTGGGCCATCGCAGCATCTTGATTCTTTTATTGTACAGCCATCTCTCTCTCTCTCCTTCAGGCTGTAGGTCCCGCTCCTTTCGGAGCAGGGTCAGCCACATGGATTCTCCTTCTCCATTTTGCTTTTTTTGTGTATTGTCTGTTGTGAGATGGAGTGTCTTCATATCCTGCTGGATCATATCCACCCACCTCTTCTTCTGACGTCCCCTGCTTCGTTGACCCAAAACTTCAGCGTTTAATAGACTTTGTACCTTGTTGTCATCTTCCATCCGTTGCACATGCCCATACTGTCTCATTCTTGATACCTGTATCTTATCCGTGATGCATGCCACGCCAAGCATTTTTCTAATATCATAATTCCTCTGTCTATCCTTGGGGGATACTCCCAAGAATCCCACGTAGCACCCGCACCATCATCTTGTACACTTTCCCTTTAATATGAATCAACATCCTTTTGTCACAAAGCACTCATCCTGTCAGCTCCTTCCATTTTTGCCATGCCGCACCAAATCTTCATTTAACATCTTCTTTACAGCTTCCTTTGGCATTTATCACCGACCCCAGATATTTGAACGTTTCGACCTGCTTTAGTACATTTCCTCTATTATCAATAATTGTTAACGTCTCATTAGTTTTTGAGCAGACCATTAGCTGCATTTAGTTTTTAGCTCAGTTTTGCTACTTTTATCTTATTGTTGATCAATTGCTACTTTTTGCTTTTGTTTTTGCTGCGTTTATTTTCAAACGTTTACTCTCAAGTGCCTGCTGCCAACGTCTAAAACTATCTTGGAGATTAACTTCAGAATCTTCAGCCACAACTAGGTCATCTGCATACAACATATCCCACAGCACTTCTCTTCTAATAAGCTCAATAATTGCATCCGTTACAACAATAAACATCAGTGGCCTAAGACATGAACCCTGATGAACGCCAGCTTTAATCTCAAATGCTATTGTGTTGTCTTTACCAGTTCTGACTGTTGTTTTAACACCTTCGTACCTGAAACTAGCATTCCAAAATAGCTTCTCCATAATACCTTTTTGTCTGAGGTTCCAGTAAACCACCGAGTGCGAGACTCTGTCGAAAGCCTTTTCCAAATCCACAAACGTCCACTATCTGCTATTGTTTCCCCTCCCAAGAATTTTTCCTGAACCTGCAGGAGAATGAAAACTGCGTCAGTCGTGCCCTTTCCAGGCATGAATCCAAAGAGGCTGGAGTGTATTTTTACTATTTCCCATATCTGCCTTTCCATTACCCTTTCATATATTTTCAGAGCAGCTTCTACTAGTTTGATGCCTCCGTAATTTCCACATTCCAGTAAATCTCCTTCCTGCTTGCAGATGTGACTATCTCGCTAGCTTTTAAATCTCCTTGTACAGCCATATATACCTGTACATTTGGCTCATTGTTACCCTGCCAGCTATCTGTTGAATGCTGAATCAACTGGGACGTATCCTACTTTATATGTTTCAATATAACCACTTCTCTTGACTGATTGCCTTCATGATGTTTAATGTTCATATGAAACGTATATTACCTCTGCAGAATTAAAATAATCTGTATCACTGCTCTGTCTTTTTGACCTCCTGTTTGTCTTTTGCTTGACTGCTGTTGTTTTCAGACTGCCAGGTACTGGAGGATGTGCGCAGGGTTGTTGGGGATGAATCCTACAATCCCCAGCACCCAAAGGAGTTGTGTGGTCGCATCTTCACCACCTGCTACATGGCCAGTGAAAACTCCTCTGAAGAGACCTGCAGCAGAGCACGAGAACTGGCCAGTCAGATTGGGAGGTAGACAATTAATAATGCTCCTACCTAAACGCTATAAAATATTTCCAACTTCTAAATAGTTACAAAAAAACTAAATTCCTGAATGAATGAAAATTTTAAATAGAGTGAGGTTGTCTTCTTTTTGTTTGTTCTTCCAGCACACACATGAATATTAACATAGATCTGGCAGTGAAAGGGATTCTGGGTATCTTCTCAGCGGTTACTGGACGGTGGCCTCAGTTTCGTGTCAATGGAGGAAGCCACAGAGAAAACCTGGCTCTGCAGAACGTGCAGGTTGGACACCCCCTTCACACTTTGTCTCTCGCGGTTTGTGTCATGTGTTCGGAGCATTATGACTAATGTTTCCACTCACCGTTTAGCACTTCTTCCACAGCTTCACTTCTTCTCACAGTCAGTTCAAAATCGAGGTGACGCTTTACCCACAGGTGGTCGGGACCATTTAGTAGCTTCACAAACTTAAGAGTATTCACTTCCTGTTGAGATCTGCAAAAATACTGAATGCTGTTAGTGGTTTTCAGAGCTGGGCTTAGGATTTGAGTCAGGTTGGAGGTCTGTATGCTGATATGAAAGGTATATGGCACACTGATGTAAGCTCTCATTGTTCTTGTATGGTAAAACTTATAGTTTAAACTCTTGAAATACTTTAATTGCTTTAAAGATCCATAGTAGTGACCATAATATTGCTCATTATAACTTTAAATGTGTTCTTGGTTGATGATGGCATCCTATGGGAGCTTCACAGTTCCATTTCCAGTAATGTTACAAAAGTGATTAAAATATTAAATTGCTTAGTCTTTAGTATTTTTCTTCACTTAGGTGGCAGAACTGAAGATGTTGAGTATCCTGATGCATGCTCAATATGAAGATGAAGATCTTCGTGTTATCTTGTATCTTCTTAAAGATATGCATATCGACATCTTCATAATGAAGATGTTGAGGTTCGTTTTGGTAGTGACAAAAACGTGTAAGATTAGGAATGAGATCATCAGAGGTACAGCACAGGTTGAACAGCTGGGAGATGAAGTTAGAGAGGCCAGACTGGGATGGTTTGGACATGTCCAGAGGAGGGACAGTGGGTATACTGGTAGAAGGATGTTAGAAATGCAGCTGCCAGGAAAAAGACAAAGAGGAGATCTATGGATGCAGAGAGGACATGGAGGTAGTTGGAGTGAGGACAGAGGATGCAGAGGGCAGAGTGAGGTGGAGGAGGACTGGCAGTGGCGACTATTGAAGAGGGAACAGCTGAAAGAAGAAGAATACTGTTCAGGATTAAGCTTATTCACGACAGAAGCCACTGATTTTTCTTGAGACCATGGCCTTTTACTGCCACATCAGTACAACTCCTAACGTGTTGCCGTTACCAACTCTGACAGAAAGGAGCAACTTCTACTAACATCCAACCAAAGACACTTTGAATGTTTTAAAATATCACATTGCTGATGTCTGCTAATTAGCCATGCAAATTATGTCAATAGAGAACAAAGTCCATGCTCAATAATCCAGGTATACAATCCAACATTTTCAGTCAGGTCATCTGGACAGTTTCTTTTTTTGTGCTGAAACATTTCACCTTCGATCCAGAAGGCTTCATCAGTCAAGGAAACACACAACACAAAACTGATTCTTCCCCCAAACAGCTTACTCCAAAGTGGAACAAACCAGTTATGTTGGTGCTAAGATGGTCTCTTTGTCACGCCCCCTCCTCTTGTGCCGGCCCTCGTCCTTGTTGACAGTCGTGTCAAACTGGTTGAAAACAACAAAGTCCATGCTCAATAATCCAGGTATACAGTCCAACATTTTTCAGCACAAAAAAAAGAAACTGTCCAGATGACCTGACTGAAAAATGTTGGATATGTCACTAGAGGTTTTATGTAATTTGGGGAGGGTTTAGAAATATATGTTTGTTTAATTCCCAGGCCCGGCTCAGGATGGTTTTGGCCTACCTTTTTGCCCAGCTGAGTCTGTGGGCCCGTGGTAAACCTGGTGGACTGCTGGTGCTGGGCTCTGCTAACGTTGATGAGAGGTAACAAAACCAATCACAGTCTTCTTCTTCTTCTTTCAACTTTTCCTTCTTCAGGGGTCTCCACAGCAAGCCATCATCCTCCATCTCTGTCCTCTGCATCCTCTGTCCTTTCTCCAACTACCTCCATGTCCTCTCTAACTGCATCCATATGTCTCCTCTTTGGCCTTCCAAACAAACAAGACCCGTCTCAGTAATCTGTGACATCTCACTGGTCTTTAATTTACTCCAGAAGCATCACACAATAACTGCTATGTGGCCAGCTATTTGGTATGTTGATAGAAGAAATCAGTGAGATCCTTTATGGAAGGACAAGTTTAATCAGAATAAAAAGGCAGCATAAGGTCATTGTAGGACGGGGTCACCAACCTTTTTAAGACTGAGAGCTACTTCAAGTGGGACTGAGTAACAAGAAGGGATACTTGTTTAATTATAGTATTAATAATAATAAATGTACATATAAGGGAATATATGACTGCCTGATCACATCTTAATCCTAATGACTCCTTACAATAATTATCAATAATAGTTTACAATGATGGACAGGACATATCGTGATTAGAGCAGCAGTGCTAATCTCTACTGCCACATAACAAGAGAGCTCTGAGTTTGACTCTTAATTGCCAGTAGGTGTGACTGGGAGTGTGGACAATTGTTTGTCTCTGCCTGTATCCCTGTGATGGACTGAAGACCTGTCCCGACGGTCCCCTGCCTTCCTGTCCCGACTGTCCCCTGCCTTCACCCAAAGGCACCTGAGATAGTCTCCAGACCCCATCTCGACCCTGATTAGGAGCAAGGGGGACCTAATGGAGGATTTATTATAGCAGCAAACGAATATTTAAACATAGAACATTATTTATTTTATGTTAATCTCAATCTGTAACATTTGAAATTCAGGGGAGATGGCAGGAACACATTATATTCACAGTGATTGGGAGGAAGAGTTTTTATTAGCAGTTGTGAAAAACAAAAGTGTGTCTCATTTGTGGAGCGACTGGCAACAACACGTCACAATATGCAGCAACACTTCACCAGCTAACACGTTCCTTTAATGCCAGCTGCCTGTCTGGCTGCACGACGGGCAGAAAAATGTCAGCGTTAAAGGCAGCTTTGAGCAAACGGCAGTCTTTCTTCAGGACGCAGTTTCACATGAGGAGGTCTTAAAGAAGCTGATGAAAAATGTGACAATTTGTTTAACAAGAGTAAAAGATGTGGTGATTAATCCGCAATGGGAGAATTAACTCTCTGCATTTTGGGGTTAAGGGGCTTGTTCAAAGGCTCAGAGTTGGGCAAATGAGGGTGAAGGCAGGTGTGGGTGCTTCACCTTTTACCACTCACATTTAGATGTTGTCAGTCTGGGGTATTGAACCGGCGACCTTCAGATCACAGGCTGACCTTCTCTAACCTTTGGTGTTTTCGTAATAAAGCTCTACAGAGTGCACAGACGGCTCTTTGCCTGCTGACGGGCATTAATACCTTGTAGCTGCGCCGCTCAGTGATCTGCATCTGTGCTTGATTATGAACTTTGACCCCAGACCAGGTTGCTAAGCTGAATACGTAAAGCAGTTTATTTTAATTAAAAAAAAAAAAAACTTATTATTTCAAATCTGCATTCACTCAAATGGTATTATTTTAATTTAAAAACATTAAATTAATGACTATTTAAAAAAATTTTGTTTGTTTATTGGAGTGCTAATTTTAGAACACACCCGGCAGGCGACTCACGTGGTCCGTGCTGGCGACCAAGCCCCGCGGGCTTTCTGTTGGTGACCCCTACTGTAGGACGTGATTTCTGAAAAATGTTGGCTTTTATCAATCAATCAATCCACCTTTATTTAGACAGGTAAATCCCATTGAGCCTCGAGGACTCATTTACAAGAGAGACCTGATTTCAACAAAGAATGTGAGAATGTTTTATGTGCGCTCACAAAATGTAATGGCTTTTGAAAAAAGGCTTGTTTTTCAAGCTAATATTCTTTTTCTAATGAATATTGAAGCTATATTTACTTGTTCTTAGTCTCACAGGGTATTTCACCAAATACGACTGCTCCAGTGCCGACATCAACCCCATTGGTGGAATCAGCAAGACCGACCTGAAGAGCTTCCTGCTTTATTGTGCAGAGAAGTTCCAGCTCACTGCTCTGAGAGGGTAAGACGAGCTCTGTGTGCAGCCGTAAGACCGTTTAGTTTTACTTTGTTTTCACCAAACCTACACAAACGCACAAAAGCCGGACATGAGAGAAAATAGATTTGTAGATACTCACTTGTTTGGAAAGGAGCGTGTTGTGTGAGGTTCTCCTGGTGACTGGTTCTGGTCTCCTCTGCAGCATCTTGACTGCCCCGCCCACAGCTGAACTGGAGCCACTCACAGACGGACAAGTGTCACAAACCGATGAGGTACGACACAAAAAATTGTCTTTAAATCTTCGATGGAAAAACTGCTCATGCAAACTTCAGGCTGACCCTGAGCTACTTATGCACTCAGGAGGAAATGTTAATCCTGCTGCCAGTGGATCCTTAGGATCACCATGGTAACCACACATGGCCATTGTGTCTCTCACTCCTTGGCAGCAATCTTAATAAGACAGACAGAAAAACAGCCTCAGATAAACAGACACTGTGTGAACACTATCATGGCTGTATTTTTATAAATTTGTTAATGAAAATAAATTGAGATAAAACTCTTAAGTCCTGCTACAGCGAGAGACTCTCAGTGAATAAGAAGAACATTGCATACGGTGAAATTTGTAAAGTATTCCTCTTTAACCGCTGCTGCTTTCTCTCCAGGCAGACATGGGGATGACGTACTCGGAGTTATCACTGATCGGACGACTGCGGAAGATTTCTAAGTGTGGGCCCTTCAGTATGTTCTGTAAACTCATCCACATGTGGAAGGACATGCTGTCACCCACAGAGGTCAGTCGTTAAACCATCATGACTTTAGATGGAGATTTTTGACTTTACTGGTCTGTTTTCCCACCATGACTGCCAGTGACATAAAGGCAGTGTATAATTTGAGCTGGATCTTTCCAGAACAAGATCCGGGAACGGTCTTATTTTGACAGGGTGCGCTCCGGCAACTGTTTGCTTGCATCTGGCAACTCTCAGGCTTACTAATAATAAAGTTATGAACAATTATGACTGCCTTGTCATTTTACGAGCCATGCTTGAATCGTGTCGCTCCCCTCTGCTGCTGAGACAATAAATAAATAACTCCGACACCTCCGCTGCTGTTTTTATGACGCTCTGGACGCTTGTCACCCACAGCACGCATGCAACAAAGCGTATAAACTCAAAGTGAGAGTGATACCTGCCCCCTTTTTTCTCTTTCGCGTTGACAATATGGTTTTAGTTTTATCGATGAGTTTGTCAAAGCACTTTTTTGTGTGTGTGTAAATATAGAAGTAATGCTTAATAAATGTTAGTAAATGTTAATAAATGTTCTATTCTTTGCTAACAAAACATATTTTGTGTCATTAAACAACTTGTCAGGTTCTTGTCTTGTGAGCATGCACGTTCCCCAGGACCCCCCCACCCCACCAAGCCGGTCCACCCGCTATTTGTGTTCTGGTATCGACCGGTTTACAAATTAAGCCTTGCATAAGTGAGTGACAACTCCGAGTAGTTCTACTTTCTTCTTTTTTTACACATCATAAAGTAAGGGTCAAAAATATAATAAGTATAATCATAAATGTGTACCTTCTTTAAGTTCTGCATATGAAAAAAAAAATCTGTTTCTATTTTTTCTCCCAGTACACATTATAATTATAGTAATAATAATAATAATAATAATAATAATAATAATGGCAGCATTAGTGAAATGTCAAAATGCAGAGAAAGGCCGTTCTTTAACACGGCTAAAGTCTCTCCTGAAACACTTTTTCTTCTTTGGTACATTTTCTCGGCCTTTTAACCATTTCAGCACATGATCACAGTTTGAGAGTGGAAGAATCAGGTGGAAGTGAGACGGACTTTGAAAAATCTGGACTCTCTTAGAGACAGGGTGAGGAGGTCGGTCATCTGGGAGAGACCAGGAGTAGAGACCACATTTGGCCCCCGGGCCTTGAGTTTGACACATATGCTGTAGAGACTGTCTCTCTGCTAGCCTCTGAACACCTTAGAGTCCTCCTAGAAGAGCTGGAAGAGGTGGCTGTGGAAAGATGTCTGGCCTCCCTGCTCAAGCTGCTGCCCTGCTAGTCGACCCCAGCACAAGCAGAAGGCAGTTGATGGATGGCTGGATAGATGGATGAACAATCTATAAATATAAAAGAGCCGTGCCAAACTACTGATTGGAACAAAAGCTCTGATTATATTCATATCAACAAAGCTCAGGATTGATGAGCATTTTCCATTAGCTGTCTCTCCACCAAGACCCTGCATCACCAAGGTGTTAACCATCATGGTGTTCAGTGATTGTATGGGATTTAAGTGCATTGTTGTTTTTCTTCAGGTGGCCCAGAAGGTCAAACACTTCTTCAGGTTGTACTCCATGAATCGCCACAAGATGACCACAGTGACTCCGTCCTACCACGCTGAGAGCTACAGCCCCGATGACAACCGTTTTGACCTTCGACCTTTCCTCTATAACACTCGCTGGACTTGGCAGTTCAGGTGCATCGACAGCCAGGTAATAAACATGTTCATGCTCCTGGTTGCATCAGATCTGACACACTGCTATGAGTAAAACTGAAAACAAACAGTTGTCATATTTTAAGACGTGTTTCTCTTTTAATCCTTTCCACAGGTGTCCCAGGTGACAACAGAAGGCCCAAAGCAATAAGGCGAGGACCCATAGGATTACAATAATCTGTCCTAATCAAAGATTATTGCCACTGTTCTTCATATAAAGACAATCAAACTCATTTATATGTATGTTAACTGATATAGAAGTCTGACCCTGACATTTGGTGATGCTTGGGAGTATGAGGCAAAGTAACCATGTAACACAATGACTCTTACGTGTATAAAGCACATTTGATTAATTTTTAATAAAAAAACAATATGTCAGGCTTTGTTTTAAATGCCTCCTCGTTGTGATCTTTTGAAGGTATTAACATTATTTAACCTAAAAACTGAAAACTCTTTTAGAAGCTTCCTTATCTTTATGAGTTTTAAATGTTCATAAACACACCTCAGCATCTTCAAGTGGCCGAGCTGAAGATGTTGAGGTTCTGCTTAGGATGGATACGATTAGGAATGGGGTCATCACAGGTTGAAGGACTGGGAGATAAAGTTAGAGAGACTGAGATGGATTGGACATGTCCAGAGGAGGGACAGTGGGTATATTGGTACAAGGATCTCTACAGATCTCTTGTAAATGAGTCCTCATGGCTCAGTGTGACTAACTTGTTTAAATAAAGGTTGAATGAATGTTAGAAATGCAGCTGCCAGGTAAAAGACAAAGAGTAGATGCACTCATGGATGCAGTTAAAGGACATGGAGGTAGTTGGAGTGAGATGGAGGACTCACTGGTGAACCCTGAAAATGGAACATCTGAAACATTATCTGTCCTCTATCTTTGATATGAAGGGAAACGGACACCATTTTTCCAAAAGTTAGTATAAGTACCATAAGGTCCATAAGGAGCATTAGTAAGTAAATGACTGACCTCATTATGGCCTCGCAGTTTGCAGAATAACTTAAACCTGACTAGGTTGATCTAATCCGTCTAGCTTGGCTTTCTTGAACCCAGTTACAACTAGACTAAACCCAGCTTTATCCTCTGATCCAGGGTTAGTTAATTCTACTTTTATGAAGCAAGCCCCAGACTGAAGAAAAGAGTGAAGAGAGCATGTCCATCTTTAAACAGGGCTGGGGACCTCCATGTTCAACTACCACCTTGTTACAGCGCTGTTATAGTGTCACTCCGCCTTCTGTGAATAGCAAGTGGCCATCAGGGCACTAACGATCAATTGTTAGGCTGATGGTCCTCCTGTCACCAGCAGACTGGCTGATCCATGTGAGAAGGTGCTGAGTTTGTTGCAGCGCCTCAACATTTCAACAAGAAGACTCCGTCCAGAGGACCTGACTCCATCTTGTTGCATGTTTCTCCCTGGATTACTGAGCTCGCGTCAAGCCACAGATTATTTTCTGCGTAGGGTTTGTCTGGAGTGAACTTCCTGCTTTGCAGAGACTTTCCAGTCAGCATGTTTGGGCTCCTCTACAGCACCTCCTGCAGGAGGTGACTTGTTGTCTGTAAAGTGATCCTTGAGCACAGGGAGGGAGGAGCAGCTCGGTGACTTCCTAATGAAACATGTTCTCCAGCAGGCTGCTCACTCGAGCCTCGTCCTGTTTTCACGCTCACAGAACAGGCTGAGTTCAGAGAGAACCCCCCAGTACGAGACTACTTCCGCTTCCCCCGCCGAGGAGGAGCGGCCACGGAGCGAGTTTCATGGAAACGGACCGTCTGCTGGCCCGGAACGATGACCCAGACCAAGGGGACTTCTATGGCTCCGGGTCGGGCGCGAGGAACGGAGGAGGAGGTTCCAGGAGGATGTGCTCCGTCACCGAGAGGAGCTCAGGTGAGCGGACCGTGGGTCAGAGCTGACCTGGGAACAGTGGCAGGACAGGTGCTCGTGGTCACGTGACTTCAGAACATGTGGAGCAGGTCCCCTGAGGGACAGGTCCCCTGAGCCCTGAGGGACAGGTCCCCTGAGCCCTGAGGGACAGGTCCCCTGAGCCCTGAGGGACAGGTCCCCTGAGGGACAGGTCCCCTGAGCCCTGAGGGACAGGTCCCCTGAGGGACAGGTCCCCTGAGGGACAGGTCCCCTGAGGGACAGGTCCCCTGAGCCCTGAGGGACAGGTCCCCTGAGGGACAGGTCCCCTGAGCCCTGAGGGACAGGTCCCCTGCCAGTAACCAACCAGGAACACATAGTATGTACATATGGATGTATATATTGTGTATTTGTACTATGTTACATGGTAAAAACAATGCAGCTGATGTTTAACACATAAGCCTCGGAGCTAAAGGCTCATTTTCAGACCAGGTGCCTGTTTTTTTGTTTTTGTTTGTTTTTATAAAATAAAAAAAATAGATAAGCCATTAACAAAAGTAGGACTTGCACATGAGCAAGCACCAAAGTTCATCCAAGACAGGATAAAAAAAAACACACGGAGGAGGAAACAATAGGAACAATTTTCAATTGATGTTTATATTTGTTGAATTTGTTTTTGGTTTCTTTTTTCATCTGAGAGTTAAAAACTAAACCAGGTGACCTTTTTATTGTTGTGGACGAACAGTTCTAAATCTGAGGAGCTCTGAACAAGCAGGAAGAGCAGATTTTTATCTGCTTTAGTTGGAGCTGCTGACTTTTCAAATCGTTTTGCTCAACACCTTTGGTGAAAGACTAAACACATTTGAAAGTCAATTTCATTAAAGAAAACCTATTGATCTAAAATGTTTGAAGCCAATTTCAACGTCACGGGTTTAAAGAGTTGCTTGGACTCAATAAAATAGTGGGACTTTATATCATGCAGGTACAACTAGATGTCCTTTCATGGTAAACATGGAATTACAAAACACATTTTCTACACGGCATGATATGAATCTCAAATTTAAGATGATCATCCAAGCAAGACCCTGACATTTCAGTTTTATGTTTCTACTCTTGATATTTTTCTTTCATTGGTAAAAACATTAAAATATTACATGTGTTGTTTCTGATTGTAAAACACATAAAAACTGTTGTCTGTGAGTTCATAGAGGATCGTCATTACAGTTCAATTACCGTATTTTCCGGACTATAAGTCGCTCCGGATTATAGGTCACATCAGTCAAAAAATGCCTCACGAAGAGGAAAAAAACAATATATAAGTCACTACGGAGTAAAAGTCGCATTTAGTTAGAAGTGTATTCCACAAAGTGCAAGAACAGACATTTAATCTGAAATTAGGGCTGCACGATATTATCGGCACGGTATCGGTATCGACTGATATTAGCGTTAAAGTTCAATATCGGACATTCCATTAAAATAACTTGCAGATATAAAAGACGCTGTTTTTTCCTGCAGCGGCAGCACAACGTGATGACGTCACATGCGCCTACCTGATCTCACGGCGGAGAGGAAAATTCAAAATGTCGGTGGTGTGGAAGTTTTATTTTTCGTTGGTGAGGATGTCGAATTCCCAAGATTTATGGACTAAGTTGAGCCTCACTACATCGTCCCCAGTCAGAGATATTTTTCCGACGTAACTTCACTCGAGGTACAAACCGTCATTTTCGACGTCATTGAGAAGCTAATAGCCGATAGCACGACTTGTTGGGTGAGTTTTACCACAAACATGTGGACGTCATGTTAGCCCCGTTAGCATGATTAGTCTTACGACACAATGGATAGACAAAAACTTTGAACTTAAAAAGTCTGTCCTTCATGCACAGGAGTGCAGAGGATCCCACTCTGCAACTATAGGAACCTGGAACAAACCTCCACAAGTGAGACAGCATCGCAGGTGGCTAATGCTAATAAATAACATTTAACACTTTTCATTTAATATAAGTTAAAGTGCTCTGCATATCATATGGCTGTTACTGAATATATGCCATCAGCTGTTACAGCTGTTGCACAATTTTTGTAGCAAATAAGTCTAAATAAGAGGGTTATGTTCTGACAAAGGAACGTATATAAAATATCGGTTATCGGCCAAATAAGTTTTAACATATCAGCATATCGGATATCAGCCAAAAATCCAATATCGTGCATCCTTATCTGAAATAACAGTAACACACAGAACATACCTGGGATCCTGAACAGGCTTAATTAACGTAACAAGCCAACAAGTCCGACAAGCAAATTACCGGTAAATTCACCATCTCATTCCACATCACTGAATCCATTGAATTCTTCATCCTTGGTGTCGCTTCTGAACAACTCCACCTTTCGGGGGCATTTTTCTTGTGTTAAGTTTTTCTCAGTTGTTTCTAAGTGAATGTTTGTGGGGGGGGGGGGGGGGGGTGTTAGCGGTAGAGGAACAACATATAGTTGTCAAAAGCCTAGAGGGCCCTCTCGTGGCTGCAAATGGTAATGTTTACTTTTTGGTTCATGTCAGTATGAATGAACATTTAAAGCATCGGTCAAAAATTGCGTTGTGAATAGTGGAAAAAAACGTAAATAAGTTGCTTCGGACTATAAGTCGCAGAACTGGCCAAACTATGAAAATAAGTGCAACTTATAGTCTGGAAACTACAGTAAATAATATTGCTGTTAGTGTGAGTTGAAGATTAACTAATTATATTACCATATTAAGGGTTTATGAGAACGGACCGTTCTTTTGGAAACTGAGCTGGAAGATTAATTTAATCTCAGAAAGATAAAAAAAAAAGAAGCAAAACAATAAAAATCATTTCAAATGTTTTCGGTCCAAACATTTGACGTTTCAGTCACTTACCTCACAGCTGCTATCTTTTCCTGCTTGTGAGCTTTCTCTCGTGTTATAAAATCGTTAAACTCGCTGAGATTAGCTTTGAGAAAACACCTTGAATAACCTTGAGAAGAATTTGAATCCACTACTTTTCTTATGTAATTACCAATTCCTTTGGTGTGTTCTCAGTAGAAAACAGAGCTCCATGTAGTGTTACGTGTGCTGAGGATGAAGTGTTTTCATTGTATTTTTAACCAGAAGCTTCTTAATCCTAACTGACATGTACTACAGGCAAACTTTCATCATGTTTGTGTCTTTGTCCATTTGTCCAGCTTCTTTACCTGCTTTATTCCCAGCAGGCATTGGGTGAGAGGCAGGGTACACATGGACCGGTTCCCAGTCCATCACAGGGACACAGAGAGACAAACGAGACAAACAACATGCATAATAACAATGTAGAGTTGCCAGATATTCATGTTTTTAAACGGTGAAAGGAAAACAGAAGAAAATAATCTGGAGTTTGTAAGTAGTTCAACCAAACTATTATTTAATGTACCAAAGAGTACATTTCTTCCAGGTTTTGGTGTTTGCTCTCAACAACCAAATCATTTGAACACATCCGAGGGCTTTTATACTTCATGTTGCAGCCACACACACACACCACAGGTTCACAAAGTGTTTGTACGTTTGGAATGTTAAAAAGTAATATGTCATATATTAGTTGTCAGTCAGCCAACTTAGCTGCTTTCCTTGTACTTTTATGTACAGTGTCTCTGAGCAAGACACCTAATCCCTAATTGCATCCTGGGTGCTTACATAGCCGCCCACTGCTCCACCTGAGTGTATGGGTTAAATGCAGAACCATTTTTGCCATTGTATGGAAACATACAATGACAACAATACATGGTACTTACACAGTACTTACACAGTCAAGAATCCAATAAATGAACACAATTACCACATTATTTTCACAGATAATTTGAGTTTCCATTAGTCCATTTGAACGATGCACACTGAAGCGCCTCACAGATTTAACCTCAATGTGAGGGAAAGATCATGGGTCTATATCCATGAATGATGAATGAAATCATGAATGACAAGAAATACCCTGAGGTGGCGTGTTGTTCGTCAGTGTAGTTTATTAATACACGGAATTCCTGCAGGTTCTTGATGGTTTGCGTTGCAACATTTCTGTTAGAGTGGCATTTCCCTTCATGACACTCTTTAAAGCTAATTCAATTCAATTTGTCCAGTTTTCAGACTGGGCTTAAGACTTTCCTTTTTGATAAATCCTATAATTAGGGTTGGCTTGTTAAGCTGTCTTAAGCTTCGACTACTGGAGGACAAATTGACCTCATTTCCTTAAATGATTTGTTAAAATTGAAAAGTTTTCATTTGATACTATTTCTATTAACATGTGATTCTTGACCTGCCATTGTGTATCTGTTCCTCTCAAACCCATCCGGTTGAAGCAGATGGCTTGTCTTGAGCCTGGTTCTGCTAAAAGTTTCTACCTCAGGGAGTTTTTCCTTTCCACTGTCGCCTTCATGCTCGTTCAAGATGAGAGTGTGTGATGGAGTTAAACTCAAAGCAGTCTGCTCCTCAGATTAATAATGTTAAATTATTATTTTTATATATGAATGTTTCTGTTCAGTGCCCTGAGATGACTTCTGTTGTGACTTTGCGCTATATAAATAAACTGAATTGAATTATATTAATTTGTGTGATCTAATACCAAACCCAACATTGTGAGATGCAATCTGCAGCGACTTAATTCAAATTCAAAAATACTTTAATAATCCCAGAGGGAAATTATTTGTTGTTGTAACTCGTTATCGTCATTTCATTAAGAGATGTTGTAGATGCTGATGGCTGTAGGCAGGAAGGATCTCTTGTAAAGATCCATCCCACAGTGGATCCTAAGAAACTGGCTGCAGATGCCGTCCGATCCGTCCACCCAGACTCAGCTTAAACAGCTCCAACAATAATTTATTGACTCATGATTATTGTTTTTATTTATTCTGTTTTGTAATGATTTGGTATTTTTAGTCAAGTCCTCCTATTTGATGTGTCAGCACCCACAATGAGGTCAACTAGGGCAGCTGTGGCTGAATGGTTAGAGCAGTCATCCTGCAATGCAAGAGTTGGGGGTTTGAATCCACTA